TCTAGTGGCGCCTGTGGCGCGATGGCTCGCGCCTTCGGCGCTTCATGCGGGGAAAATTTTCAATCAAAATCTCGTCCTCCCCATACGAAAGTTCACTCTCTATGATTCACGCCGGGGGGAGGGCATAGGAAATTTTTTTGCGCCGGGGGGAGGGCCTAGGAAAATTTTTTTTTGACCTGGGGGAGGGCCTAGGAAATTTTTTTACGCTACTCCCGGCGAAGTTTATAGCGAGGTCACTGCCCTCTTGGTAGGAGTAATAAAACTGAGCTAAGTGCTAGCAAAATTTGTCCCTCAAAATGCAGGAAATAACGTTTCAGAGGGTCTAGATTTCAAAATTTTCCCGGGGGAGCATGCCCCCGGACCCCCCTAGATAACGTCGCGCCTTCGGCGCGACGCCCCGCGCCTTCGGCGCTCGCAAAGCTAGTGTACATGGGAGAAAATCTCGCCCCCCCAGTCAAAATTTTGTGCCGCCGCCTCTGGTTAGAGAATGGAACCGCCTACCAGATAGTGTGGTTAAAGCCAAGTCACTGCAGGCATTTAAAAATGCCATTCACACCTTGTAACCCCAAACAAGAGTCACGGGTACTCACCGCCACCCAGCTGGCGGACAGGGAGTGGCGCCCCTGCCCACTGAGGAGCTTGTAGTCTGTAGCCAACAGACTACAACAACATATATATACACATATACACAATACAAAATAAGAGCGACACCCCAAATCCAAACCAAAAACCCCTACCCCTCACCGTGCCGGAGCCCTCAACTTATTGAGGTTGTGCACGTACGGGAAAGAAGAAGAAGAAGAGAAGAAGACATGTCAAACAATTTAAGAGTCCAGCAAGAGATATAAAGACTGACGCTACAGATATGTACGGTACATAAATATCGAAGTCAAGCACTATTTATTTTAAAAACTCACTGCAAAAGGGGCTTGCGTGACTTGTGGAGGAGCCGCGTACAAGCTATGTATGTTTACGTATTTTCGCCTCGACTCATGCATGGCCGACTCGCGACTTGTAAACTTTTGTGCTCGGTCAGACACGATATGTGCAAATGACAGGTGTGTGTTCACGTGCCGTGCCATGTGCCAGGTTAACATTTGTAGCTGGGTCGAAAAGGGTCTAAAATATCATCAGATCAGAATAAATACCCACTAATAATGACAATAATTCTCCTGTGAAAACTGTAAATATTGCAACTTGCCATTTAGTTTATTTGAACTCAAAAGCGACAGCCATTTTTTATATACAGCTGCCACCTGCGATAGAAATTATTGAACAACTCACGCCGTCGAAACACCCCTTACACGGCCTCTGACATGGCATCTGTGTATACGGTAGCGCCTCGTTTCAACTCTATTCAGTCTTGCTCATGCAAATGACACCGGCAACGAAATGGTGGCAGCCGAGCGGCCATGTTGTAGTCGTCTTTCCCTTTACCAGTCTTATAATCGGTCAGTTTGAGTGAGCACAACTGTGTGTGTTCGCTATTTCTATCCTTCCGTACCCTGTTTTGATGCACCTGGCTACTGGACACACCAAACACCACGGAAGAGAGCATTCAGTCCGTATCCAAGGGACGCCGGGTGTGCTACCAGTCCTGCTGTGTATAGTAGAGGTGAGTTAAAGGCATCCGATGCGATTTCAGGGCAGCTCAACTTGAAATATTCTGAATAAGGCAAATCTTTGTGATATTGACACATACTAGTACTGTATTTCATACTTTGGGCTTTTAAAACTGCAGAAACAAGCCCCAAGACGAGTCCTTTATTTTCTGGGTGGTACCCTAAAATTAGCCAAGGGCCCTCCCAGTAACCATTTCCCGTCAGAATTTTGGGATTTTTTTTTTCCACGAGGGTCAATACACATTGGGATAGTGTGGTTTCAACTCTACATGTAGATAAATGGCATTTTCATGTCATGAAGTCAGTTTTATCCCAAAATAGGACACACTAAATGAAAAACAGTGTAGGGATTGTGACAAAGGGTAGTGTAGGTTATTCTCTTGCTACATTCTTGAGAGAGTTTCAAATCAGAGGTTGCTATGTCCTTAGGTTAGGTTTGGACTTGTAGAATCTGGAGAGGAGTCATCCGAAACCAAGGAGCTTCAAATAGAATCCTAGTCCGTAATAGCCTAGCATCCAGCCTATTTTGTGTGTCTGTGTGTGTGTTGGGGGTGGGGGGAGGGTAGGGGTGGTTGCTAGCAGAGTAGGAGACTGGAGCAAGAGTAGGGCTAGATGTTACATGCTAGGAGCTAGACTAGCTCACAATGATTCGGGGGAGGGGTCACTGTTGTTATACCACCTGTCAGATCTGATATACAATTTCAGTTACTATCTTTTTACGTATCAAATATGATCATGCGCATGCGCCCAATGCACGAGGTACTTAAGTACCAGACAAGTCGTCTCTTCAGTCCTCTGTACACCACGAAAGTGGTTCGGCAGCTATATAATAAGATCAGTTTATTTCCCGAAGGCTAATTGCAAATAACAAGCTAAGGATAAAAGAACAGTGAAACAGAGTACAAACTTACCTCAAAACTGCATAATAAAAGGTAATTGTCTAAATTATAGCTTATGAAACGAACAGTTTGAGATATAGTGTATTTCCTCTTCCATAGCTTTTGCTTGTGATATTTTTTTTGGATACCAGGTTACTTGGGTTGAACATGGATCTTGCTATGTTCGATCGTCGACACAATTAATTAAGCCACCTTGATGGAAGCAAGGACATTGTATTGAAGACATCAAGAGACTTTTTTGTAATAAATTTCGGCCGATACAAGTACTGTAAATCTTGAAATGATCGTGGTGATTTTATTTTCGCGATATTCACGATGACCGCTCCATCGCAAGTTATGAGATCGCGAATGGGATCTGTTTTATGTAGTACAACAGCTGGATAACCAGTCTTTTAGTGCTTAGCCCTCATAGGCATGAATGTGCAAATACTAGTGAACATTATTGCCATTGTTTATACTGGCTGCGATGGTGGCAGTGGAATGCACACCTGGCACGGACGTGTGTTTACTGGTAAACCCAGATGAAGTCACGCATGCACTTGCTTTACTCATTTACATACATATTAGGGGAGTCCTAATAAACACGCTATTTGGTTCTTCTTCTCTGATGTTGCCACAACAAGAACCGCGCCGTCCTTCTGCATTTGATTAGACAAGGCAATAGTGGAAGACATGCATCAATAGCCCCATACTGGCCGAAATTGTGTACTATACAATGTACTATACAATGCCACAACAAGAGGCATATTGAAACCAAGAGTACAGACACTGATGGTACTGTAAATATACTGCCGTACTGAAGTATTGTTTCAACCGTGAGCTTTAAACACCGCAAAACTATCCTTTCCTTTCCTAACACGAAATTTATCCCCCGCGAACATAAATGAACTTACAGTATTTTGTTTTCACACAAACTATGACTAGCCTCTTTTGTTCCCGCATTTCATATCTCTATCGATTGTAGAATCAGTCACAAAGCGAGGGGCGGATCGTTTCATGTTTCGGGGACTGCATGCAGGGATGTAGAACAATTTTCCCAATACGCAAACTATGTCTCTCTTATATGTTTAAATCATAAAACACGACAGATACTGCTTTTTGTTTGTTTGTTTCGCATAACCTGTAAACCGCCTTTAGGCGTAACACACCAGTTGTGTACAGGCTGCCTAACCGGACTGTAAGGTTTGAACCACTCACACCGGGAAGGTCCCCCTACTGTTTTCGATAAGTGCGGTGGGTTCTTGAACGTGCGTGGGGTGTGGCTCTCCCAATCACGGGACCCCCATTTAACGGTCTATCCGAGGGACGTCCCTTACCGAAGCTAGGTACTCATTTCCACCTGAGTGAAGTGAGAAAAGTCCAAGGGCACAAGATCGGTGACATGGTAGAATTAGAACCCGCGACCTCTTAGTCTGAACCGAACGCGCTACCGTTTACCCCACACGACCCCACAATAGCATAGTATCTATATATTTATTTATGCCAGGGATTCATCCAGAATAACTATGCCCATCACCATATATGCGAAGTTGATAGACAAATAACATCAGCCTTCCGTAAAGAAAGAAGTAATGGAGTAACGCTACGTACTAATTACACAAACGAACCAACTGACGGGTGATGTTTGTACACGTACTTTGTACTACGGGTCATGGGTTCTAGTCCCGCCAACTCTTCTATATACTTCAGAGATGCCCTTTGTCACACTAAATAGTCTTGTCCATCAAATTTTACTTGCTGTGGCCTGAAGAACGTTGTCGATAAAGCATGGAGTAGTCGGGTAGTGACATAAACACATAGGAAACACAGCTAGGTCCTTTATGTCGGTCCAGAAGGCACATAGATTTGTGCTAATTTTTCCCTTTATCCCATATCATTGTTTGTTTAATCATTAGATAATGTATTAGCCTTTTCTTTATTAATCTTTTGGATCAAGAGGGGTACAGTTCACCATGCCTAGTTATTTATCTGTATATCATATATGCTTAGTGAGTTTCGTGAGCTTACATGCTCCGACCAGGCTTACAGAATAAGGCCACGGCAATTAAGTTTTATGGATGACATCCTCCGCAGACTCCAAATCTAATGCGAGCGGGCGAAAAAAAAAGATTCCTACATTTTCAAATTTTTACACCATGAACCTTGTTAAACAAGAAATGCTACCTATGTTGTGCTAAGTTTACTGCAACTATTACAACATTCATGTCAAATTTTGTCACTGAAAAATCAAAGTTTTCAATCATTGTACAAATGATTTTGATTCAGTGGGAACATGACACAAACAAAACATTTTATTCCTGCAATAACGGATAGCATTTCCATCTGCGATACACCAAAGCTTCTAATTGCGACGTTTTTTTTTTCTCAAAATTGTTGTATTTTCTTCTCAGGCGACATCTATCGATGGACGAACGGACTGCATGTCAGCGAGTAACTGAAGTGGCACTGTAATATCTATAGCAGGCTGTGAAGCCTATGAAGGACAACTGCAGACGATTAAGTCCTCACCATGACGTGTTTGTGGCTGATCTACAGTAACAGAATAGAAGGAAGGGGATAGATGCACGCCAGGATTTTGCGCAACGGGTTCTATAGGGAGAGAGGGGGTCAGGGTTCGTCCAAAATACCATCTCACGCACCAGATGAACTATATTCACCTCTAAGAGTATAGTAATACATAAAAGGACAAAGCAACATGTCTTCACGTACTTCACGTATATAACTTACATTGTATGGCGGGGATGAAACTCGTTGAAATGACGCCAGTATGGTAGCTAAAATTGTAGACAGTAAACTCCGTGGGTCGTTCTTTCACTACGGGCGCGCGCTGGCTAACCATCCCGCCCCCTTCATCGCGCTACCGCTAGTGTTGTCCGCGTTGCTGGGATATTTCGGAGGATCTCGTTTGACCCTAGGCGATGATTTGGTGTATCTGTTTACACCTGAGGACGGGCAGGCGAAGAGAGACGGCAGCGCCATGCGGGAGGCCGGGTTCCAACCCACCGACCTCACAACGAGCTGGTCGGCTGGGCGCGTCATCGTGAAGGTAAGAGATGTTCCAATGTACACTTCTTTCGTTTTGTCATGTTTCGTTCTAGCCGTTACATTACTTTGAACTGAGCGAAAGAGTAAAGTTTTGCTTGGTAAGTTGGTGAGGGAGTAGTAAATTATAAAAAGGTGTTACTATGATGATGTAAATATTGTCACACATATCGCGTTTGATGAGAACTGCCGCCTGAAACTTAGAAATACGTGTATCAAACAGCATGAAACAAGAAAACTAGAAATATAACTTTTTTTAGCAAAAGCAAATGGTCTAGCCTAACAAATTACTGCTCTGTTTATTTCTTCTTAAACACATTCACACATATGATGACCAGTCTCTTCAAATGTTCCCTGCAACTTGCTACATAATGTGATCCAACACTACGGGGTGTGCTCCATCACCAGTTACCATGGTGACAGACGTCTGGTCCAGGTCATTGACATTAGTTGTTTAATTGGAAAAGAAGAGGAAGAAACAGATCTATAGGGAAAACACCACGTATTCTCTCTGCGAAACTTAACATAAGAATCACTAAAAAAAATGAGATAGTCTGTCATCGCATTACTTTCTTTCAGGTAAAGGATGACAGAGAAAACATACTGAGAAGTGACCCTGTAGACGAAATTCTTCGCCTTGACGGCATCATTCGCAACGCCAAGAACACCGATGGAGAAACCTTTGCAGACCTATGCTTCAGGATGGAGCTCGGGTGCCTAGAAAGCAACATACTCCGTCTGATGACGTATTTTCGTGTATCACACACTACTCAGGTCGTGAACGTTACATATCCGTACTACAAGCCATTCCCTGTCGGGTGGTGGTCGGGTCTGTATCTAGGGAACGAACTGGGAGGGGTTGAGACAGCGCGGGACAGCACGACAGTTCTAGCTGCTAGGGCGGTACAGCTTGTATATCACGTGAACGCAACTGGACAACGGAGGATAAGCATGATGAGAGCATTCCACCGTGCTGTCGCGGACTTCCGGTCCGACAGAGTCCTGGCGTTCTTCACTTCCGGCGATTCACTCAACGACGAGATTTTGACCCTCCCAGGGCGAGTTATGCCATACCTCGCCTTATCCGGCTTTTTGTTGATAGTTTTCGCGGTCGGGTCGTGCACGATGGCGGACTGCGTGCTGACGAAGCCGTGGGTAGCGCTGGTCGGCGTGGTGTCGGCGGGTCTGGCCATGGTGTCGTCCGTAGGACTGGTGCTGTTGTGCGGTCAGACGTTCCACACACACGTGACCGTGGTGCCGTTTCTATTACTCGGTAGGTCTACCAGGTGTCAATGTATTTTTTTTTCAAATTTAAAAAAAAATTCTATTTGTATCAGGAAAATTAAAGGACATTCTCTCTCTTTATCCAGTATATGGTATCAAACCATAATAACATAATGGTACATTTGTAGATAATATGATTCAGTATAAGAAACAGATATAACATATATCAAAATATATAATAGAATATACCTCTCGTACCTGCGTCCGACAAAATCTCTTGATGGAAAGATTACGAAAGGCTATGGTCGGTACTACTAGTTCAGCACCAAGGACAGATGATACACGTTCAATTCTGCAGGTCGCGGTCTCATTCGAGAGATCACGAATATGCAAAAGAGTAACGTTACACTTCTCTCGTGCCATTTTGGATGGTTCAACGTGGGCGACAGTCAATATTCAGACTTATTTCGTTAATTTTCTACGTGTACTCATTTGCATATTCGTGATCTCCCGAATGGGCCCGTAGCCATTCTGCGAGTGGTATTCAATTGCAAACGTACAGTAGTGTTAAATCCTGACTTGCGTCCTTTCCACAGGTATTGGTGTGGACGACATGTTCATCATGATCGCCTCGTGGCGTAAGACCGACCCCCGGCTGGCGGTACCGGAGAGAACCGGTCACGCCTTAGCCGACGCCGCCACCGCCATCACCATCACCTCCCTCACGGACTGTGTCGCCTTCGCCGCCGGCACCATCACGGTCTTCCCCGCCGTGCGGATCTTCTGCATCTATGCTGCTGTAGGCGTCGCCTTCGACTACCTGTACCAGGTCAGGCTACGTTTTAACCTTCGCCGAGAGGGTTATGTTTTCAGTAGCGTTTGTGTGTGTGTGTGTGTGTGTGTGTGTGTGTGTGTGTGTGTGTGTGTGTGTGTGTGTGTGTGTGCGTGTGTTTTGATAGCTCTCACTCACTCACTCACTCACTCAGTCCTCTTGCACGATGTACGTCGAGCCTACTAGGCGGGCCATCTCTCTCCATCTCGGCCTGTCCTGTGCTTCTTCAGGGGTGATGTTGACCAAGGCCAGGTCCTTGGCCAGGACGTCTGTCCAGCGTGTGCGGGGGGCCCCCGAGGTCTCTTCCACCCAGCAGACTGGGGGTTGAATAGCACGATAACTAAAAAAGCTTTGGATGGATTGTTATGAAACTTAGTAGGTGTGCAGGTCTTGATAAGACCTAGAAATGATTAGATTTTGGGTCCCCTGGTGGCTTTCCTAGGTACTGCAGCAGAACTTCCGGTTTTGATATCTCAGGATCTAGACATGCTAGGCCTAGAAACAAATGTTTCCTGTCTCCCGACCGACGACCCTAGAAAAACCTGCCAGCCCTAGCCTTTTTTGGGGTGGACCTCTGCAAAAGACATAGATTTAATTTTTCGAGCTGATCAACTTTTTCTAACTCCATGATCTGACACATGATTGATAAAACGTTGTACAGTTTGTTTTCTGATTTTTTTTATCTCCGTAGATTACATTTTTCGCCGCCATCTTGTCTCTCGCCGGACGAAGAGAGAAGGCTGGTCGCCATTGGCTGACGTGTCTCAAAGTTCCAACCAATGAAGAGGCAAGCCAAAGGTCATCAATCTACAGACTCTGCTGCTTTGGGGGTACTCCAAACCAAGATGGCGTCTCCGATCAACATCAAAATGATGAAGACCGACAACTGCCATTCGTCAGTAAGCTGCTATGTAACTATCTTACCCCATTTGTTGTGAACCCTTTTGGAAAACTGGTTATTTTGTTTATATTTATTGGTTATCTGGGGGTTGGGATATGGGGATGTTTTTACGTTCGTGTAGGGTTAGAATTTGAAAACTTGGTTGCAGACGATTCTTTCGTCAAAGACTTTTATCGAGCCGAACATCGGTACTTCAAGGAGTACGGACCGAAAGTAGACATCGTAGACACGGGTCCCTGCGAGTACTGGAAGAAAGAAGTGCAAGAAGCTGTAAGGAACAAAACGAGTTCCTTCGACCAAAGTTCCTTCTTCAAGAATTCGTCCACGACCGCCCAAGTGTGGCTGGAAGATTACCTAACGTTTCTCAACGATACAGGAAACAGCAACGCTGCTACAGAAAAGTCGCTTTTCCTGTATCATCTCAACACTCAGTTTTTACCAACAGTCGGCAGACATCACAAAATGTCCATAATTTTCAGCTCAAACTTTAGTGTCATAAAGGCTTCTCGGTTCGTAGTGATTGCCAGAAATGTGAAGACGAAAGAACAAGAGAAAGACATGATGCTGGAAGCCAGGAGAATATCGGAACATGGCCCGTTGAAAATGTCTGCCTTCACGATTGATTTTGTTTTCTCTGAACAGATTTATGAAATTTGGCCCAGCACCGTGCAGACGATACTTATCGCAGCGGCCGCCATGTTTGTTGTGTCTCTGATTTTCATCCCTCATTGCCTCTCCACGGTGCTGGTGACCTTTGCCCTTGTCTCCATAGACGCGGGACTTGCGGGATACATGGCACTGTGGGGAGTTAAACTGGACATCGTTGCCGCGGTTTCATTAATTGTTTGTATCGGCTTCTCTGTTGATTTTTCGGCCCATATTACCTACGCTTATGTCAGTTCTAAAGCAGAAACAACAGGGAAGAAGATGAGAGAAGCGTTACAAACTGCAGGCATGCCTATCATACAATCCAGCATGTCGACTGTGCTAGGCCTGCTCGTTCTCGCATTTTTCCCGGCATACCTATCCCGATCGTTCTTCAAGACCATGTTTCTTGTGATGGTGTTCGGTTCGTTACACGGGCTTTTTATTCTACCCGTCCTTCTGACAGCGCCATGTCCGGAAAGCTGCATTACAAGGCGCCGCTGACAGGGGGCGGTTGCCAACCAGGCAGAAAAAAAAGGAAACCGAGCAAATAGAAAACCAAACGGGAGAAACTACGTCCTTAACAGAACAGTCCCTATATTTGGAGGGTGGCTCTTTTCCTATGAAGACAATGTCTAGTTCTGAAATGTCCAGGGAGGAAAATATAGAGCGCTGTCTACGGGACGCAGAGGACACCTTACTAACGGTCGTTCTAGAAGGCAAGGTGGCAGGCCTAGACAATCCTGTACTACAGATAACACCAATAACTCTCAACCAGGAAACCAGAACCACTACACTCTAACCTAGTCCAGTCTATCGTGGTTGGGCGGGTTTCCTACGGGGCTGCAGGGGCTCTTCCCCGCCCGCCTGAGCTAGGTTCCCCCGGTAGGTTTTTCACGGCAGGAGTTTGATTATTCGTGGCGGGGCAAATCAACTCTCCTACGGGGCGGACTGTTGTACTGGCGGGGGAAACTATTAGAGCCCCGAAGACACAACCTGCCCCGACTACTATTCCCCAACCACGATAGACTGAATACCAGGTTACTAAACTCTGAAGTAGGGCTGTGTACCTAATGCCCGTACCTGTAGGATATTTAGGTACAGGTCCGACAAGCCATCTATAACGTTACTCTCAGTGGCCAGTTGTACAACATTTATTCATTATTTATATGGTGCGCAAGCTTTCCTAGCCATTCCTAAGTGATGTATTATTGTAACATTGCAAGACACAAACCATACGAAAATCCAGTATTGTCATATCAAACTTGTACAACGGATATGTCTTTTTTAGCCAGTAAAATCCATGTATCTTTTTCAGAAGCATATTTTGTAGTGTTATATACTCATGAAGCCGGGTTGTTACATTATGAAATATTGTAAATACAGTGTACACATTAATGTCACTATTCTTTCAGTCAAGAAGAGAAATCTACCATCTAACAACTACTGAACAATGGGGAGCGACATGTCGTAGTTAAAACAAGTTCTACCTCCATTCCAGACTTGACCGGTACTAGTATGAGCAGGGGTCGAAATTCATTTTCGGAATAAGTGCACTGGTACACCCAACCTAAAGAAATAGGTGCACAAAACGTTTCTTGGGTGCACCATATAAAATAGATTAAGGAGAATGTCCGCAAAAACTAATTGTGTTTCATTTCTAAAGAAAAGTACTGCAAGAATGATTTTATTATTTTTTGACACTTAGATGTAAAGAAAATGCTGTATACTACTATACATTTAACACCTTGACATAAGTAAACCTAGGAAAACCCACAGAAAAAAAATTGGGTGCACACATGCTCCAAATTTTCAGTGCTTGGATAGTAACCAGAGGAGTGCGCAGGCGCTTCCCACAATTATTGCGGTTTCCGGTCTTCCGAACATATATACGGTTGACCGGAAGTTCCATGATCAGTTGAGCGCATGGGAGCGCATTCTCTTTTTAGCGAACGCCCACGAAAGCCCACCAATTGTCGCACGAATCTTAAAATTTTTGGTGTGGTCATGTCCAGAGTGTGCTCGCGGGTGTCCATGCCAAGTTTGAAGCGAATCCATCGAGCCGAACTTAAGTAAATCGAAATTTACTGGGTTTTTTTTCTCTTCTTGGCGAACGCCCACTTTACTTCCGGGTTCGCTGCGAACGCCCACTACTCTTGGCAAAATTTCGGCCCTCGCGCAACGCCGGCAAAATCCACCACCACAAATATGTTCCTATATGCTTCCCCCTGCATTTCTGACAAGTTTCCGTGCTTTACGAGCTTTTAAAGTA